TTAACACCTTCTTCAGGCCTGAAATACATTGATTATAGTAGATATAAATAATTTGGTGGTTTCCCATACCCATATTGATACCCACATGTGTTTGCCACTGCCAAGTGTAAAGCTGCCCTTACGGGAGCCGCGCCTTTGGAGTGAAGAGAAATGACTTACCCTCACCCCCTTCTTAAATAGTACTGTGACGGTCATTGCATGTGATATGAAAAATTGCGTGACATTGGGCACGTAGTTAAGTTAATAGTTGTAGAGCGTCACGTAGTTCGTCCTTACTATTTATTTCGGGGGATAATTTTCTTATTTCTAGCGCCTCCAATAGTTTCCTCTCCAGCGGGTTTTCTATGGAGCGATGTAATACACTAATGATTAATGTGGGGGGTTCCCCATATGGATGTTTTTTGGTGCGGTGCTTGGAGAAGCTGTTGTTTGGATAAGAGGCTGGGTTTTGTAACGCTCTTCGATGCTCATCCAAGCGCTTGTAAAGAGGCCGTTTTGATTCTCCAACATATTTTTGGCCGCATCCTTGACATTCTATTATTATTTTTGGCCGCATCCTTGACATTCTGTTACCAGCTTTGCTCCGCCCGGTATCGCGCGCATCACATGACCTAAGGTTCCGCGGGCTCTCCAGGTTTTATCACACATAGCCCTGTAAACACTGAGCATTTCTCCTGAATTCTGATAATTTAGCGGTGTTTATTTATTTTCTACGGTGCCTCATAAACAAAATGACAGGGTTAAATCGGGTATCGATAGATTAAAAGTCTCCTTACTGGATGCGAGTCTTGCGGATCGTCGACAACGAAAAGGTAAGTGCATACATGGGATCATTTCCTCACGTAATTTCTTAAGGTCTCGTATAACTCCGGAGGTATGGGAAAACATTTCAGTTAGAAACCAAGTAGTGTGCTCGCGTTTACGACGGAATGAGCGCAATCGCCTCAACAGTAAGATTCAAAACCTACTTCAACACACCAGTCCAAGGGAAGGCTCATTCATAAAATGGGATGCGATACCACCTAAACGGTGCACTATCATAGGAACAGACCAAGTCGATGAAGATATGAAGGCAACATTAAGTTTAGGCCCATCCTTCGCGGTATCAGAATCGCTGACAGAGAGGACTATGGAAGCAGTTTGCGTTGGGTTCAATAAATTCGCCTACCAACTGCGGTGGCGAGAAAACAGGGGTCCTACGGTGCTGGACAGAAAGTCAACGATTCCAGCCGCACCCTTCCCCAAAAACAGTTGCACCCGTACTCAACCCTTTCCTACCTGGAGCCTTTGCTACCCACATCTCTCATCTCCCAAACTCAAGGAAGTCTATTCAACAACTGGACGGACTAGGTTTGGATCCAATCTTACGGCTCAGGAACGGAGGGGACTAAGAAAGCTAATGGCAAAGAAAGGAGAGCTGCGATACAGCATTGGAGACAAAAGTGGGGACTTTGTGGTCATGACCCAGGATATGGACAAGGCAGTCTCTCAACATAGCCTGGAGGATCGCAACACCTATAGCGAGTCCTCCCTCCAATCATTCACTAGGGCTACCAAGCAACTGGAAAGGACTATTAAAACAATATTGGGCAATAAGTTGGACAGGGACACGGTGAGACGATTTATCCTACCATTTCCAAGTGTTCCCACATATTATTCTCTGGTCAAGACCCATAAGTTTGGAAACGCAGAATTGGATCGTCTCACAAGCAGGGACATTAAAACCCGTCCAATAATTTCTTCATGTGGCGGACCTTCTGATAGGATTAGCTGGCTGCTAGTCAAACTGTTTTCTCCCCTTCTACACCATGTCTCAGCACATCTAGTAAATACGGATGACTTCATCGCCTCCCTTGACCAATGTCAAATCCCAGTCGGGGCCAGCTACGCCAGCTTTGATGCAGTATCGCTGTATACCAATGTGAACACGTGGGATGCCATTAACGCTCTACTAGCCCTATGGAATCAACACAAAAGGGACGTTTTCGTCTTTGGACTGGAGGAAGGAGACCTACGGGACCTACTAAAAGCAACTCTGGAATGTAACATATTCCAGTTCAATGGGAAGTTCTACGCACAGCAACGTGGACTGGCCATGGGACTACGGATAGCACCATTGTTGGCCGTAGTCTATCTAGACCAGTTAGAACGACGATCGCTAACAACTGGAATATTGTTTTACAAAAGGTACATCGATGACGTTTTTATTATTGGCTCCTCGTCAACAGAGTTACAAAGGACACTCCTCAACCTAAATTCACAGGATCCCAATATAAAGTTCACGGTTGAGGAACCAAATGAGGAGGGATTTCTCCCTTTCCTCAATACAAAGTTAGAATCGAGAATGGAGCCAAACAGCTTTCTTGGTATAAGAAACCAGCGTCAAAAAATGTACTATTACATGCCAGAAGCTGCCACCCCTCCTATATGAAAGCGAACGTAGTTCGCAATTTGTTAAAAACAAAAGAAAAAGTATGCACACAAAGATGGGAAGAAGTAGATGTCGCGGTGGACCGAATTCTGAGGGACAATGGCTACGAAAATACACATGTTGCCACATGGAGACCACATACAACACCAGATGGAGTTCCCATGGTAATGCCGTATCTGAACGAGAGTACGGCACAAAAAGTTAACAGTGTGGTCAAAAAGTCAAAGCTCCCCATACGCCTTATATTTCGTCCACCGCCTAATCTCAAACATCTACTCACTTATTCAAGACCATATAAGTAACCAGCAATAAAATTTGCCAATTGAGGGGCACCGTTTATTTAATAGAATGTCAAGGATGCGGCCAAAAATATGTTGGAGAATCGAAACGGCCTCTTTACAAGCGCTTGGATGAGCATCGAAGAGCGTTACAAAACCCAGCCTCTTATCCAAACAACAGCTTCTCCAAGCACCGCACCAAAAAACATCCATATGGGGAACCCCCCACATTAATCATTAGTGTATTACATCGCTCTATAGAAAACCCGCTGGAGAGGAAACTATTGGAGGCGCTAGAAATAAGAAAATTATCCCCCGAAATAAATAGTAAGGACGAACTACGTGAGGCTCTACAAGCTTAAAGGAATCTTGCGCGGAAAATTCTTGCACTCTTTCCTAACATGAATATGTCAGTTGTGATCACTGGAAATAGCACACAAAGTTTCACGCATGAAGATTCGGTTTCTGAAGAGAAACAAACGTACAAAAACTACACGTTATGGACCATCGAAGGACCAGGAGGCAGAGCCAGGCGAGGCATGGAAAGAAGACGGCGTTTGGCCGGCTACGTACCAGGCGACGCAATGAGAGAATCGGGTTAAAGCGCGCGATTTCGGAGAGTGGAGACAAATCGATCGATGGAATAGGATGGAGTAGAAGTGTAAGATGTGAATGCAACGAAGCAGAAGGCCAGAAAGAGCTTCTAGTGAATGCACTCCAAGAACCAAGTTTGAGCATCCCCGTCGCCAGCATTCGTGAAAGACGTCCGTGGGCAATTCGAACGCGTAGCAGCCTTTTCGAGTTTTCGAATTTCTAATCAAACGAAAGCAATACTTCAGTTCTTTTCACTATTATCGTGGATAATGAGTCTCAAGCCAGTGATTTATGGCTGAAATAGAATCATGATTTTTCCGCGCAAGATTCCTTTAACTTATACTTACTGCGTGCCCCAATGTCACGCAATTTTTCATATCACATGCAATGACCGTCACAGTACGTCCGCTACTATTTAAGAAGGGGTGGTGGGTAAGTCATTTCATTTCTCTTCACTACAAAGGCGCGGCTCCCGTAAGGGCAGCTTTACACTTGGCAGTGGCAAACACATGTGGGTATCAATATGGGCATAGTAGTTCACCAAATTATTTACATCTACTATAATCAATGTATTTCAGGCCTGAAGAAGGTGTTAAACACCGAAATATCGCGGAGGATTTCAAAAGGATTCTTTTTCAAATAGCTTTTTGCTCTTTTGAAACTTTCGAGTTTTTGGAATTTTCGAACTTTCTGAACTTTTGGAATTCTTTTGAAATAAAATTTTGGTGCCTCTCTGTGTTATACAATATTAGACCCTGATGCAGTTGTCTATCCAGTTGTTCACTTTTACTAACTCTCATTTAACCAACTATCTAGTCGTATCACTATAAATTCGCTCGCCATCACATTCTTGGAGGCCGTTCATCTTGTGGTGTGTGCTCTGCTCCTGGTTTTGTCAACAGTGGGTACTCCTCTCTGGATGCGGCGTATTTCACCCTTTATCTACTCCCTCCTCGTAATCATACTGAGTGCCGAATTTTCATCGCAACTCTGTTCCGTGGCTTGGTAGCCGGTTAGCTAAGAAATTTGCCACGGTAATATCAATTGGTTCAGAGCGAAAACTCTTGGCAGCCGCAATTGCCAAAGAGCTCACGAGTAAACTACTTCCGCGTCACCCAAATTGCTGATAACTTGCCGCCAGATAGTATGAACTACCAAGTAGAATATGAACATCACATCAGTTTTTTTTTTTCGAGGTGATTCGTAAACCTACTGGGGTGCTCGCGCTCAAGTGATTGGTGGCGTCGGTGCCTGTGGCCCCAGAGGTTTTAGCGCTAAACTGACGATCAAAATACCTCCGGAAACAACTTTCTAACCAAATCCTTAGCCATGGACGAATTTCGATCCAAAATAAGTTCTTGAGGAGTGAGGCAGTAAAGGGTAATAGTGCCCAACTGTCTTATGACTGTCTTATGACTAAAGTCTACCAAAATTCAATCACATTGGAGGATAGCGCGTGAAATAACATTCCAAAACATTGGCATTGGCAAGTTCGGGTTGAATCCCTGCTGCGAACCAGTACAGAAGAAACAACACAGAGATGTGCAATATCTCCCGAATTTATGGAGCTCAATTACGTTACATTAGTTTTATTCATTTAGCTCGCTAATATACAGAACAAGGCGTTAACAGCTCTGATGGATGATCCATTGGAGCTCACTGGCTGAGAAACCGTGTAAGCTGTAGGCACGAACGTATCAAAAGTTCGTGTAAACTGTAGCACGAACGATCAAAGGAGTCCACCTGGACTCCAATTCACGTATGAGAGCTTCCACCTGAACAGCAGCTTATAAAACCTGAGCTCTGTTAATGTCCCTTTGTAGAAATTTGATTACGACTCCGACAAGCACGTGTAGTACTCGCACCTCATATTACTCGTTTAGGAACACGTATTAAACTGCTCAGATATCTGTTCATATTTCATTTTTTCGTATGTTGTTCTAAATTACTTGTTTGGAGCAAACGTAACGACTACCCGCTACTTCATTGAGATCAAACAAAGGACGCTGTTGAAAGGAATTCAAAGGAACACCCCCAGATCAAATTTGTCTTATCACAGCCGTCGATAATGGAGCTGCTGGTGCCGAGTTGACTAAAATGAAAAAGGACCAGAGAAAACGTCGACGGAGCCACAAACAAGCCTTTCGTCTCTCCCTCCTTGTAATAAAGAAGGGCGGGACCGGACGAGTTATCGAACTTGATTGCTCCAAGGCTACCTTAGCCCGCACACATTTGAATTGACCTGCTACACCGTAATCCCGCTGGGTATCGTAAGATGGGCGCGAAGTATCTCGGCCATAAATTATGATTAGTCGCCACAAGTTCAATTTGTAAAGCCCAGAGCCATTGCTGCACACTTTTGAGACGCGACAACGGCACATGTGCGACACTCGTGAGCTACTCTATCCCACCACTGAATAGATTCTTCGATACTTCTGTTGAGGTCATTGCTTCAAGGTACGCGTATAAATGAACCGTCCAACTTTGAAACACTTGAACCTAAGATAACGCTAAATTCGAACCTTGACTTTCAACTCTTCTTTCGTTCCATTATTATCTATCAGAATCGTAGCCAACTCCATCTTTTTTCGTATCGGAAATTGACTGGAAATTCTCGAATTTGCTTCCTCTCTCGTCAGATTGTCCCGAAGCATCAAACGTTCCAGTTGAGTATCATCGTCACTGAAAAATGGAATCAAACGTGTCTCCATGTTTTATCTATTGTCAAATGACACGAAACCGTTTCCGGAGAAAAGAACGTTCTTTCCGCGGATATCTCGTCATAAAAACAATAGAACGGTCAAAAACGTCGTACAGAAAATTCTGCAAAATCGCGCGCAAAAGTTATACTTTAACACCTTGGAGCCCACGCAGCCCATATGTGGGCTGCAGTCCTCCGACCGCATAGGACCTTTCAGCTCGCATTTCGGAAACAATTATTAGGTTTTTCATTCATTTTCTTTTCCATTTTATCCGATAAGATTTCTTCTGCATTATACAGTGGGTTCTTCTTTTGAATTTGCTAGATAAGATCCCTAAAAATTTCACCGAAATCCCGCGCGGCCGATGTCAGACTTTGCGAATCGCGCGATTCGCTAGCGTCTGCGGTCGCGTCGCGGCCAGTGAATCACTCAATTGGCTGGTACCGCAACGCGACCGCGGACGCTAGCGAATCGCGCGAATCGCTAGTAGCGAATCGCGCGATTCGCAAAGTCTGACATCGGCCTAAACGCGGAATGAATACGTAAACAAGCTGCTCGAATAA